ATTACAACTGAACTTGTAATCACATTAAGCATGTTTTCAAAGACAAACATATATTTTAGCAAGACAAGTTGTCTTCAAACACTTCAGAGATATACAGAATGCGGCATTTAAAATGATTTAATAACATAGGTTATTTTTTTATGACAATGAGACATGTCTGCTCCTGGCAGCACCAATATACTCATGAGAAGATGCTGGGCATTGAGAAACTTACATGGAGTTACTTTCTTTGTGGCAAAAGTAAGCCATTGGGCAAGAAAGTGCCCTAGACAAAGCAGAATAGTCTTTCAGAAAATCCTGCTTCACAGAAAAGTCTGTCAGAGATGCTAGACCTATAGGCCAAAGATGGATGCTCCAACATTGCAGAGGATCCTTCGGTGGGATCCTTGGGTGACTGTCCAGGCAACCAGCTGTTTTTGTCATTTCTCACACTTCTTGGAAGTCCCTTGATGGCACTTCCTATTTACTCAATTAATATTATTTCCTTCTCAGGTCTCTGAGGGAGTTGAAGACTAGATAGTATACTTAAAGTTTTCATTGTTTACCAGACTCAGAAAAGAAACTCACTAAAGATGTGTAAAGTATAAATAGTTTGAGAGACATTAAATGGTATTTTGATAATGCAAATTAGAACAGAAAGTAAATTAGATTTAAGACCATGGACTCACCAATTTAGGGTAGATAATGAAGCAGTTTTTCTGAATCATCAAATGCAAAATGATTAGGTATTTTCTCTGAGTTTATCAAATGCAAATGGACTAGACATTGTTGATGAACTTACTGTCTGTATATACTGTATATACTTAACGTATATAGTTTTTATTATGTCAGTTGTAGCTTTCTTTGTATTAGACAAAAAAGGGGATTTGTGGTGATATATTATTGTTTATGATTTATTAAAGCTTGCCTGAGGATTCAGAAAGCAAAGTCAGCCACAAGCTAAAGAAGCCAGGCACACATCTTTAATTCCAGCAGCCAGACACCTTTAATTCCAGCAGCCAGAAGCTAAGAGGTGGTAGTACACACCTTTAATCCTTGGACTCAAGATTAAGTAATAGACGGATCTCTGTAGTCCAAGGCCACCCAGATCTACACAAAAGTGAATTGGTCTAAAAGAGAATTAATTATAGCTCACAACTTTAGTCACAGGGAAGTATATAAGACAGAAGCAAGGTCTCATAGAGGTATTCATTCTCCAGTCACACTGAGGAGATAGGCAGCAATTTGACACTTGGTGAAGAGCTCATGCGTGGAGCAGCCCTTTCAGCCTGAGCTAGAGGTGAGAGCTAGTGGCTGGCTGTTTTGCTTTTCTGATATTCAGCTTGAAACTTGGACCCCAATATCTGTCTCTGAGTCATTTATTTTTCGTGTTACACTTCTTGGCATGGTTGCCTATGAATTAAATTAACAAATGTACTTACAAAAGAGTCTGACACAGAAAGTGCTCAATAGGAGTAAAGCAATACCTTACCATGATTGCTGCAACTACTACTGTTTATTTATTAGCCACTGACATCTGCCAAGATGATGTGAAAAATCTGTATGAGGCTAGAGCCTCAGCTCAGTAGTAGAGTCCCTTGCCCAGCATGTGGCAGGCCCAGGGTACAATCCTTAGCAACACAAAAATAACAATAAAATAAAATTTGAATGGAAGGAAAAACTAGGCCAAAGGGTACCCAAGTTACCAATGGGGGAAATGACAGAAGACTCTATAACTGAATGACAAGCTTTGTTGTAAACAGCATGATAGCAAATCTTCAAAAGGGAAAATTAAATTTAAAGGTTCTATGGGGTTGGGGATTTAGCTGAGTGGTTGAGCGCTTGCCTAAAAAGTGCAAGGCTCTGGGTTCAGTCCAGCTCCCCCAACCAAAACAGATATTGTCAGTCTTTTAACTGAATCTCGTATGTAGCCACAATCATTAATACCACACAGCATGAGCAAGAGAGAAGAGGCTGACTGAAAAAATCACAGACACTTCGACAGCACAAGCAACGGTACACCAACTACACTAAAATAAAGGGAGCTGGAGTCCAAGCACAAATGGTAGAGCTTACATTCTTTTAGGATAAAGACATGAATCTCTATATGGGCTGGATTATTTCCTAACTACTATGAAAACAAATCAATCACTGAGCTGTTAACCAAAAGAAAAAGAAAAACCCAAATTCAGAAAACTTTCCTATCACAGCCAAATCTGCGTAATGTCTTCTATCCTGCAGCAAAATAAAGGCTCTAGGAGTATACGCACTCATTCCCTCCCTTAGGGTGTCCGCAAGTTTACCGCTATCTACTCAAAGACCTCTTTCAAAGGGAACTTTGTGAAATAAGGATGATACACCTTTAACTTCAGGGCACTGTGAAACTCTACCACATCAGTTTACAAGACCGTGGGGATATGCTTACTCCTGGGAAAGGCTTAGTACAGTAAGTAGCCTGGGAAGGGGTTTACAACCAAGGCAGCAAGGACTCACTGTTGTCCTTTACTCTGTACACAGAACAAAACCAAAATCGAAAAAGGAGGCTAGAAAGCTTTGACCTTGGAAACTGTTGGCAGACTTTTCCTTGGGCAATAACTTATTCCCTGTACAAATTTAGTAGAAAAAAAAGAAAGAAAACTGCATTCATATCTGGTCTTGAAATGGAAAACAGTCTGCCCTATGCCTTAGAAGTTGCACTTAATTGCATAAATTCCAGAAAAATATTCAACAGTGAAGACCTACACAAACTTAAGAAATCTTTCCCACGATTTAGATTCACAATCAGGTCTGATCTTATCAAATGCTTAAGTTATATTGAATCACAGTTCTTCACACATACTTACAACTATTTCTGGTTTCTGATATGGAATCACAAAACAGACATTCTATGTTCCTTGAATATTAATATACTGGAATGACAGCTGAGCAATTAAAAGCTATTGAGGCACCCATATGGTGACTCACTATCACTTGTCATTCTAGGTCCAGAAGATCCAACCCCCTTGTCTGTCCTCCAAGAGGGCATCAGGAACATACATACATACCAGCAAAACACTCATACCCATAAATCAAAAAAAAAAAAACTGAGCATCTGTTGAAGTTTAAAGAGATTGCTTAAAGATTAAAAAAAAATAGTGTAATGACTTCTCTTAGAAAAACATTGGACCTTGTTTTTAGTAGTTATTCTTAAGTAGACAGAAAAATCAAAATAGAAAATTTTAAATAATTTAGGCACTAAAATGAAATAGGGAGGCTGGGCGTATAGCTCAGTAGTAGGCAGCTTGTCTAACACGTGTAAGACCTGGGTTGGAATCCAGCTCCCAACCACTGTCAAAAACAAAAATATATGTAATAAATAATTTAAACTGAAGGGCATGAAGAAGGCAGGAGTCACGCCATCTCCCCAGGTCCTGAGCATATTGAAAGCATAGGAAAACACACAGGCTCACTCTGAACCTGTTATCGATCATCTCTAGACCTACTTTAAAACACCAAAAAGAATCACCTTCGTGATCCATCCTCATATAGAACATAAACAACTTCAATGGCTTCATAATCAATATCAACAAAATTAGAAAGCACTACCACATTTCTCAAATGAAAACACTAGCTAAAATTTTGTTATGACTAAGCCAAGGACACAGCCTGTAAATAAAATATCCACCCTAATATTGCTTTTTAACGGTTACTCAAACCCAACCACCACTTTCTCTGGGTTAGGACAGACACATCATGACACAAAGCAGCATGCTCAATGTTGGCAGAACAGCTGCTTGGAACAGTGAGAGCGGGCTGCATAAGCAAGAGATCTGTTGACAATCTAATTTAGGCTACCCCTAGATTCCACAACGATGACAACCTGCGCCCGCAGAGATACTGCTGCAAGTCTTCTCTGCTGTCAGAAGATTCCAGTTTACCTAATCTCTGCATGTTGGGGTACTATGCAAATCTATCCACGAAAATGCAATTTGCTGAGCATCTCCAACACGGTAAAGTGGCCTTCGCAGAGGAAAGGCATCAACGGGACTGCGAAGGGCCAAAGCAGCAATGGATACCAGTGTTAAGAACAGAACCACGGATTTCACCCCAACAAGACTGGAATCTTCGAGCCAGCTTACCCTGAGGGCTCGGACAGCAATTCACCAAAGAGAAAAGGTGATTCCGGAGCTCAATTCTGCGTTTACAGTCGGCGAGGACTTGCGTTGCATGAACAATGACTAGCTTGCTCCGAGCGGCCTCCCAACCCCCACAACTTGGCTTCTGGTGCGGCCAGTCACCCTGAAAGCTGCCAGGGCTGTCACTCGGTGCCTTCCAGCAACCGGACTTGGCTCCTAAATGATCTGTCAGATCATCCTCCCAATATGGCTGCCACAGTAATCCTGGTCGGCGGAACGTCGAGCCCACACCATCCTTCCCCGCGGCTGGCCAGCATCCAACAAGCCCCCTCCCTCTGCATCCTTCCTCCGTCCAGCCCTTGAGCCCTCCGCGCCACCGGATGCCCTTTCCTACCTTCATCGGGCACAGGGGCATCGCCACATTCCCAGTCGGAACCCTGATGCCAGCCACAATGGGGGTGAGGGGGAAGAAGGGGAGGAAGACCAGCTGGCCTCAAGCCGGGCAGGGCCGGCTCCCTCAGCGTTGCAATGTGCGCAGATACGGCGGGACGGCGACGGCTCTCCGCTGGCCCGCGGACAGAGCGGGGCCTGGCAGCCCGGGGCCAGCGGAGGGCCGGGGCAGGGCACTGCGGGGGGGACCGGCAGGGCCGCTGGACCAAAGCCCGGGGCTCGCGGCCGGCCGGCCGGCCAGGGCTCTCCACTGAAGGCTAGGCTCCTCGGCGCGGACCCGGAGCCCCGGCCGGCCTCGCTGCTTCCTGGCTTCGCCCCCCCCCCGGCCACCACCACCCCCCACCCGCGCCCAGGCCCGACCCCGGCCCGGAGTGTGTCCCGCGGGAGCGGCCCCCTCCGCCGGCGCCGCGGCACCACTGCCCACCTCCCCTCCACCTCTCCCCTCAACCTCCTCACCTCAGCCGCGCTGCGGACCGACGGGCGAGCCGGCCGAGTCAGAAGACGCCGCGGCGCGCAGGGGCGCGGGAGGCCGGGCACCGACGCACCTCAGCGCGAGCAGCGGCCGCCGGGAGCCGCAGGGCGCCGCTCCGCAACCCCATCACGCAGCCGCCCAGCTCCGCATCGAGCGTCGGCGGGAGGCCGGGGCGCGGCGCTGGATGCGGCGAAGGATCAGGGAGAAGCTGGGACGCGAGCTGTCGCCTCCCGGGACCACCGCCGTCTGACTACACCGCGTCGCGCAGCTCGCCAAACTCCGCCCGAAGCCGCCGGCGCGGGACACCGCCCCGAGCTAGAGCGCAGCGCGTCACTTCTGCCCGCCCAGCAACCGAGACCGACGCGGAACACGACCAATCGAGATGAAGATCATGGGACAGGCGACCAATAGTGAGGCGATCCCGTCAGAGAGGGCGGGAGATGCTGGCGGGGCGACGGGGACGCTCGAGCGCCCCCTGCTGGTCCGGGAGCCGGTGCGGGTGCGGGCGTGCCGGGTGGGCGAAGCGGCTGCCCGGAGTTCCCACCCGGGTGACCCCCCGAACGGGTGTTAGTGGGGGGTAGCCGCGCCCGTGTGGCCGGATGACCCGCTTCGTAAAGGGACACAAGGTGGGCCGAGTGGCCGGGCAGGACTGGACGGTCCAGCTGCCGTCCGAGCGCTGGGATGATGTGGGAGCGGCCGGGTGTGGAGTCATTGTCCGTTTGGAAAACAGCTCACACGGTGAAGCGGACGAGCCCGGCGCGGTGGGAAGGGAACCACGCGCAGGCATGAGTGTATCCAGCGGAAAGCTTCCCGGCCTATTCTTGTCGAACCCCAGCGCAACACCTCCCACACGCCACCTTGGGAGAAAAAGGAGGAATGAGTAATGGGAAAGCATGACTTAGTGGGCATTCAGCGTCTCCTCGGGAGACGGCGTGCTGGTGTGAGCCGAGGAACAAAACGCTTTGTATCGCGCCCAGTGAATGGACTGAGCGGCCCGTGAGAGATGGCCCTGAAGGGGGTTACCAGGACTCACGAGAACACAAAAGCTCTACGAGCCATGTTTAAAAAAAAAAAAATCAGATTTAGGTTCAGCTCAAAGAAAAGGCCTCACAGCCGTCCGCAAGCAGCTCAATTCAGTACTTGTTAAAAAATAAATAGATAAATCACAACCTGCCAATCACACTGCCTTTGAAGATTGAATAACGTCTTTTGAATTTACCAGCAGAAACTGAAAGTAAGATTTTTTTTTCTCATCCCTGACTTTAATACAGTATTTTTGGGTGGAGAAAGGCCTACACAGGCTAAAACATAAAAATCAACTTCCTACACTGATTCTGAAAAATCACCCCGACACTGAAGCAGTCTCCCCAGTTACTACACATTAATTGGATACTTCTTGTATTTATTTATGTATTTGGTTTTGATTTATTTGCTTGCTTGTTTGTTTGTTTGTTTTGAGAAAGGGCCTCACTCTGTAGTTCTGGCTCTCCTGGAACTCACTATGTAGTAGACCAGGCTGGTCTCGAACCCACAGAGATTTGTCTGCCTCTGCCTCCTGACTGCTGTAGTTAAAGACACCCCTATGATTGGCTCTCATTTTTAGAATTTATACTTCTCCATCCCACAAAAGGATTTAATGCAATTTATATTGAAACATGCAAACAATAAAATTGCTTAAAATGTTAGGGGGAATGATTTTGTGAGCTGAAGGCCAGCCTGGGCTACGTAGAGAAGCCCTGTCTTCAACAAACAGGGCCAGTCAAAATGGCTTATCGGGTAAAAGTGCTACTGATCAAGCCTGATGATCCGAGCTCCAACTCCAGAAGCCAGGTAAAGGTAGGAGAAGATAACCTACTCAACAAAGTTGTCCTCTGACGTGGACACACACTTGGTACACTGCGCTATAGTAGCAGATTAAAATTTTTAGCAGGCAAAGCCAATAAGAGCTGACCTGGAAGTGTAAGCTACATCGTGGAGCCCTTGTTTAGCCTATGGGAGCCCTGAGTTCAGTCCCTAGAGTGAAGGGGGAGGGAGAGACCAATCATTCCCACGTGCAGGGAAACATTAATGGATTTGCACAGGAGCAAAAGGCTCCAAAGTTTTCAACACAAAGAAGGAATTTCGTTTTGTTTTGTGAGACAGGATTTCTCTGTGTATCTTTGAAGCCCGCCCTGGAACTCTGTGGACAACGCTGGCCTGGAATTCACAGAGATCTACTTGTCTCTGCCTTCCTAGTGCTGGGATTAAAGGTGCCCTGCACTAAGAAGGGATGTTTGAGGAGGGGCTGAGAGATGGCTCATTAGTTAAGAGGGCTTCCTGCTCTGGAAGAGGACCTGAGCTCAGCTGCCAGTACCTGCATTTCAGCAACTCACAACCACCTGTAGCTCTAGCTGCACGGGAATCTGTCAGCTCTGACCTCCAAGGGCTCCTGCACTCATATGCACATTCTCACACACAGATACACACAATTTTTTTTTTTTTTTTGGTTTTTCAAGACAGTTTCTCTGTGGCTTTGGAGGCTGGCCTGGAACTCACTCTGTAGACCAGGCTGGCCTTGAACTCACAGAGATCCTCCTGCCTCTGCCTCCTGAGTGCTGGGATGAAAGTCGTGCGCCACCACTGTCTGGCTTTTTTTTTCACACAACTTTTTAAATTAAAAAATAATTACTTTAGGGCTGGAGAGATGGCTCAGCGGTTAAGAGCACTGACTGTTCTTCCGGAGGTCCTGAGTTCAATTCCCGGCAACCACATGGTGGCTCACAACCACCTTGAATGAGATCTGGTGCCCTCCGCTGGCATGCAGGCAGAAGACTATATACACAATAAAATAAATAAAATATATATATATAAAAATAAGTACTCTAAAAAGTACTTATGTTTGAAATAAATATACTAAAGCTGAATTAAACATTATTCAGAATATATATGTTCAAACATAATATGGCATCCACATTAATACATACAATTTTAATATCTTTATACATCACAAAGTTTTAAGCAAATAAGAAGCCATGAAGAAAGGCCTACTTGAGCCAGGAATGGTGGGCATGTCTATAATCCCAGCACTCAGCAGGCAGAGGCAGGAGGATCTCTGCAAATTGGGGGCCAGCCTATGCTACATATGGAGTAAGCTAACCAGGGGTACATAGTGAGACCCTATCCCAAAAAAAACAAGCAACTAAAATAAATCCTCAGTGGACGTAGTGGGACAGTAAAAACAGACCCGTTACTAAAGGCAGATGAGGCTGCCATGTGCAAGCTAGACCCTCTGACGAATGAAGCCGTTCTGCACAGTCATCCAATTGCTCAATTGCTCACCTCTAAAATCACAAATACTGGGAGAGCGAATGCACCATGGCCTGATGGGGCTATCCCTGAAATGCAAGGAAATAAAATTACAAAGAAAGCCAGAGAAAAAAGCCATTTGCCCGTAGTTGAGAGACTCTACGTTGCACAGATTAGAACTCGGTTGTGCTGACACACAGACACACACTAGAAAGGGAACATAGGAATCAGAGACCCACAAGCCGGATACCATGATAGCAGCAGGGTTACAAGTCAGTCATTGGGCAGTGTCAACCTATACATGATAATGAACGATGCTGGAATAATCGAGACGGAATATGGCATAGCAAGACATGATGGTGTTGCAGACTGACTCTGGAGGCTGAGTAAGAAGGACCAGGAGTTCAAGGTCATCCTTGAGTTTGATGACCACATAAGCTACATGAAGTTCCATCTCAAAAAGCAACCATGAAAAATGTAGAAAACTTGATTTTTTTATACCATACAAAATAGAAATTCACGTAGATTAAAACTTTCAATAAAAGCCTAGTACAGTGACTCAGGCCTTTAACCCTAGCTCTCTGGGAGGCAGAGACAGAAGTGTTCTCTCTGAGTGCTTTCTACACAGTGAGTTCCAGGATAACCTTGGAGCTACATAGAGAGCTAACCTTGTCTGGAAACAAACAAACAAAAAATAAAAATAAAAAAACCTAAATAAAGAAGAAACAAAAAGATTAAAACCCTAAGTCAAAAAAGGCAAAGATTTAATTATTTTACAAATATCTTTATAACTCTGAAATAAAACATCTTTTTTTTTTTTTTTTTTTTGGTTTTTCGAGACAGGGTTTCTCTGTGGCTTTGGAGGCTGTCCTGGAACTCGCTTGGTAGTCCAGGCTGGTCTCGAACTCACAGCGATCCGCCCGCCTCTACCTCCCGAGTGCTGGGATTTGAAATAAAACATCTTAACAAACCAAAGACACTGGCTGCAAAAGACTGGTGAATTCTATTACAATAAAAACACATTTATGTTTAATCCCAGCACTTGGGAGGCAGAGGCAGGCAGATCTCTGAGTTCGACGCCAGTCAGGACTACATAGGGACAGTCTCCAAAGCCACAGAGAAACCCTGTCTCGAAAAACCAAACCAAACAAAACACATTTATGGGGACTGGAGCACAGGTGGCTCAGCAGTTAAGAGCACTGGCTGCTCCTCCAAAGCACCAGGTTCAATTCCCAGCACCTGCATGGCAGCTCACAGCCTTAAATAACTCCTGGCCGGGCGTTGGTGGCGCATGCCTTTAATCCCAGCACTCGGGAGGCAGAGGCAGGCGGATCTCTGTGAGTTCGAGGCCAGGCTGGACCGACAGCCTCCAAAATAGAGAAACCCTGTCTCGTAAAACCAAAAAAGAAAAAAAAAAAAAAAAGAAAAAATAACTCCTGTTCCAGGGGATCTGATGCCCTCACACAGACATGCCTGTAGGCAAAATACCAATACACATAAAATAAAAATAATTTTAAAAACCCACATTCACAAGATAAGCAAAGCAGAATTGCAAGTCCCTTAAGGAAGTTCATGCCTGTAATTCCAGGCTGTAGAGTTCAAGGTTGTCCCTGGCTACATAATTAGTTCCAAATCAACCTGGGAGACAAGAAAGCTTGTTTTAAAAAGGAGGGAGAGAGGGAGGGAGAGAGGGAGACAAGAGGAGAGGGGAGGAGCTTCAAATTGTTTAGGACATTCGCATCAAGTAAAGACCCAGGAGAGCCATAGTCACCAAATTCAGGATGGTGTTACCCCTGGAGAAAGACGAAAATAACACCATGGAGCAGGGCATAGAAAA